AAGTCCACACATCTTCAAGTCGCCAAGGTTGAGGAACCCTGCATTAGAGGGCACCACCAGATTTTACCACCTCCACCCCTTTGCATTGTTTAGGGCTTGAGAGATTCTGTAAAACTGGTGCTTTAAAACTATCAGAGGCTTAAGTCCCCTATTTTATTATTGGTTTTGGGAAAAAAGGGATAATTATGGCTCTGCCATTCAAGAGTTTGCCACCACGGGAAGGTTAGGAAGGTGTCAAAAAAGTATGGGGATCCATATGGACGGAGGGTTGCCCTCACCTGGTCTGGTGGGGGTCCACTTGATTTTCCTGGCCTCTTACTGGAAAAGGCCTTCTCTGCAAGCCCTGGACAATTCTCCCAGCATCTTAGGTGCAGCTGGTGGGTGCCTTTGTGGCTAGAACTGGACACCTCCTCAACAGACTTATATTAGCCTACTTTCCCAACTCTCACATATTGGGGAATGATAACTCCTGAGAATAGCAAGTAGTAAAGGGAGCAAGGTTTGTGCCGCTAAGAAATGCACATTGTCTTTGAGTAGCTAGGTGGAAAAATGTGTTCCTGGCTTGTACGACAGTGAGTACAAAAGAACTAAGGACATGGCAGCAGCAAACCTTTGATGGATGGCTCATAAACCAACAGCATGCATTGCATTCTCTTCTACTGAATCCCAGGAACATAAAATAGTATACATATATACTAACATACATACTGATAATAAATGGGGTAAAATGTTTTTCTTTGTGTTAAATATTTCTGTTTAAAGCAAAGCAACATGATTCATAATATATTTAGTTCTGCTTCTAAATCTTGGGGGAGGGGGGTATTAAAATATAGTATTTATACTCCAGGCAACAAGTCATCTCCAAAAAGCAAGTCAAGAATGGGGGCATAATTCATAGAGAGTGAGTTCCACTGTCTCTGAAACATGGAAAAGCTATTTATCACCAGGGTAGATTTATCTGGACCCCATGTAGAATCACTTAGATGCAAATCATCTAAGAAATAGTTCTGCATTCCATGAAAATAACATCCATATTCTCTTATATTCTGCAGAACTTCCTTCCCCATTTTGTTCTTCTTCATCTGTTTCAGACCTTGAATCTAAAATAAGCCAAAAAATGTGCAGAATTTGAGGACATAAATTACAAGCAGATTACATTAGCAAGTAAACACATAGCTAAGGACTTGTCTCTCTCTTTCATACACATCAAAGGCACAAGGAAGAAAAATGTAGGTTAGTTTCATTTTTAATGTGTAAGTTTCTGTCAAGATAGACTGGAAAATAGTGCTGGAGTGGGTCAGTAGCCATGGTGCTTGTCAGCAGAAATGACCTGGGCAAGCTTCATCATGCACTTTTGGAAGAAAATTAAGGTTGGTGGGTTGAAATAATGATAGGTCCTTTAAGAAAGCTTTCTCTAATAAGTTATTTATTCTGTCAATAGGATAAAGCTAGTCAGGTGGGATTAGAGGCAAGGAACTGGCATAGCTTCCTTGAAGATAAATATTTCAAATTTACAACTTAATTGTTTTTTAAAAATACGTAAAAGGAAATAGCATTCAATAAAAACATATGTTGTATAGAGAAAGGGGACAGAGATAAGTTTTCTTTTTCTCTAATTACAGGAACAAGACTCAGGTGAGGTAAGTTTAACTTGGCAATTCTCTACTAAAAGGAATGGTGGTGCCCACCAATTTGGAAGGCTTAAAAATGGATTAGATAAATTGATGGAGAAGAAGCCGACCAATGGCTGTAGATGACCTCCAGGACAAGAGTCACGATTTGCCCTGACATACTTTTAGAAAGATCTGCCTTCTCCTTTCTTCCTAAAAGAAATCTTAGTTATTTTAATTCTGTATCTTCAGACTCACATGGCACTTCTGAATTTTGGAAACTAATCATACTAGATAATTGTCTCTCCTGCTATAAGCTTTCAGAAGAGTATATTCCATCTCAGTCTTAACTTTTTCAGCTCCCTTCCTAACTTTCTTTTTTTTTTGCAGGTGCAGTTTCACAGTCCCATTGTTTCTCTTTCTGATCCACTCATTCCTTAATTTCTGGTTGTTTGCTTTCACTTCTGCCATCCTTAATTCTTCTTCCTCTCTTTCTTTCCCCTACCACTCCATAGAAGCTCAGTAGATTTATAAATGGATTTTCATATATAAATTATCATGGTGCATCTCTTAACTAGGCTCAGGTTTGAGACATCATGATAAAGCATATAGGTTTTCATGAAAATTACTCTCATTATGATTAAAGAATACTATATTTTGGAATAAATGTGCACATTATTTCCTGCCATTTTTTTTTTTTTTGGTACTGTTAACCTTTAGTGGATATCCTTTGTGGTTGTGTTTAATTCTTGAATCAACATATTGCAATCCTAGTGTCAGGCAGACTCTACTTCAGTTTTTGTTATGTTTTACTCATTAAGCGCCTGGCTAAACATATGATCAGAGAGACTTTCCTTACTCGGAATCCTTAGGATATCTCAGCCCTTTCTGTAGCAATATAGTATCTTGGCAAGATAGCAATATACTTTCCTGGATCTTCTTGTTTCCTAGCTGGCTAACAAACTATATTATCCTCATTGTGGTGGAGCAACTATTTTGAGGACGCTGATTGCCATGAATTTCCTGTCTCCCTCCTAAAATGTTGTTACTTCCCTTAGGAATTAACCAATAACTTGTTTGGTTAATTCCTAAAGGATGAATGTACTTCCCATAGAATTGTGAGAAATCAGAATAAAGTTTATATGCTGTAGCTCTGTAGTGGATTAAGCAAGAAAAATGATTTGGTTTATTTGTGGTACCCAAAGGACTGATAGGATTGTTTAAACATGGGCTGAGGACCAGATAAGACCATAGGATCACATGGAAACATTAGAGTTGCCAAGATAGTCTGCTGCCAAAGTAAGTGGAAAGTGAGTAAATGTCAGAGTAAGTAATTATAAACACTTGCAAAGATATTCACATCAACTCTTTGTATTATGCTTATTGCTGATCCTGGCTACCTGCAGCAACTTTCTCCCCAGAAAAGCTGCATAGGACAGGTAGGAAAAACAGCTGTAGACACTGTCCTTTACTCACCTTATGAACAAACTGCTCAACTCGAGTTTGAAGTCCCCATACTTCGAATTTCACAGATACAAGTTTGTAGGAGCACATAATAGGGTCTTGAGTTTCTCTCCAACCTTCTTTTAATAGGCCTCTCCCAGTCTTCTCTGATTTGAAATACTTAGGGTCCTATTGAAAACAAGAATGAGCGAGCAGCCTAACTGAAGATTGAAATCTATGTTTGAAAAAAAGAACCACTTGTGCTAAAATTGTTACTAGTAAGAATGGAATGCTACACAAAATTATTTCTATCTATGACAGGAACAATGTTCATTTCATGTTTCTTTTCTCTATTTATTAATATTAGGGCTGGAAGCTGGTTGTTTGTACAAGAAGACTGGAGATTTTTGAAAAACCACTGTATTAATTCCAATCCTTATTCCTAAATCCTAAATGAAGCACTTCACTTAGCCCCATTTAACCATTCAACTGAGTTACTTTGGGGAATTTGGCAGCCATATAAATAAAATAAAATAAAATAAAATAAAATAAAAGCTATGCAAATGAAAATTATTAGACACAACAGAAAGCAGCTAATTCTTTAATATAATTAATAAATACATTTTCTAATAAACTATCCAAAAAGTTACTGCTAGAATGGGAAGGAGAAATATATTATCTTCGTGGGTACCATATAAAAATAAATTTGCAATGATTACAACATACTATAGTTGTACAGTCTAAGGATCAGGGCAGATGCAGCATGCTGGCTGGGTGTTGATATTCCTGTTCAACATCTTAAATGTAGGTTAAAAATGAACATATTCTAACAGATTTCCACCATATATTACTTCTGTTTTAAATATATGCATTAGTTTAGGACAGAGTAAGATTTATTAATAGGTGTGATCCTTTCAAAAAGGTTAACCTGCTAAAATACCATTTTGGTTAATGGATAAGGTATTGCACATTTTAATTTTGATATTTCAGATAGTTCTGCAACTAGTTCAGGTAGTTTTGATACCAGATAGTTCTTTGCTTTCTGTTTTCCAAGTGCTCATCTCATTCATAATCCTGACAATCTAAAAGAGCTTCTTCAATGTATTTGAAAAGTATGTTTTCAAAAATACATTTGAAAATTGGCACACTTCTTCCCTCCACTCACACACTAACAATAATTACATTTGGCTGTTTCTTTTTTCCTCCCTTTGGTTTCAAAGTAAAGAAAGCACAGATAAAGCAGTACATCTGCTTTGGTAGTGCTCAATACTTGAAAGTGCTATTTTAAAACATCCTGTGCTTCGCATCACAATGTACTGAAAACACGGAGCAATTTGTGCTATTTGGTAGCAAAATTATTCCATCGAAATGAGTTTGCCTCATAAATTATATTTGACTGAAGCACAGAGGGGAGCAAAGGAGAAATCTAACACAAGTGCTTGGAAAATGTCTTTAACGTAGCGCTAGCAGAACAATTGTATGGTGAGTCTTAAGTTAAACATGAGTGGGTTGCTCTGTTTTTCACAGGTACTTTATGACACTAGGGAAAGAGCACAGTCCCCTTTCTCCAAAACATCTCTATGAGAAAGCTTGAGCAAGACTGAAAAGCTTCATTGCTCCTGAAGACTTAGGAGTATAAATGATGCATCTGGTATCATAAGAAAAACTCTGTAGGCTCTCTCTGTGTGTGTATGTGTGTGTGTGTGTGTGTGTACCTGACAAATTGCTTTTGCAAACTCAAGGAAATTTCAGCCACAGTTTGTGATCTAGAATCTATTAATTTAGACAAAAATAATAATTAGATATTACCTCTACAAAATAGAATTTTACTGCAGGATTTCTTCCCTTTACTAGTGAAATAGCATCTGTCAGGATGCCTCTGCTAAGCGTGCTCAGCTAGAAGCTAGCCTGGATGAGGCACACACTTCTGATATTTCACTGATGCACGTTTCTTGTTTACAGTCTATGAATGGTGCATGAATCAAGATTCTAAACTGGAAGATCTGGGTTGACTTCATCAAGCATCTACGCTTTCCTTAAAGATTATTCCAGGCAGACCTAAGCATCTGTTCAGAAATCATTATCATTATCATTATCATTATTATTTCAGGAAGTTTAACATCCTTTATAAAAATATTCTCTCTGAACTGGGCTAGCCAATACAGTAATCTTTGCTTGCCTATAAACCTGAGGGCAAATGTTTTATAGACTGTCAAACTGCATCAATTATAAAAAGACAATTAAGTTTTCCTGTATACCAGCATATGGCCACTGACTTAATACCTAACAGGGAGCATTCTATGAGAAATATTTGACATATGTTGCAAGGAAGCACTTCAACAGTGAGATGAAGAAACAAACTTTTTGAAACTTTCTTTGACTTAATGAAATGAGATTCTCCAATGAGATTCCTCAATGTTTGACTTAAAGAATGGGACTCAGTTTTAAAGTTTGTTTCACTGAAAGTGCTTGAACAACATCAGTTAGGGCCCAGTGAAACACTTTTGCATTGTACTTATAAAATAAAATTATGATCAGTGAAACCACGTGGGCTGTTTTAAAGCTATACTGTACCTGCATGGCTGAAGTAAGAATGGAAACATCTCATCACTCATAATTCAAGTCAAGATGCCGATCTCTAAATACTGATCTGACATCCAAATCTGAGATTTCAGATTACAATACTAAGGACTTTTTATACTGTAATTAGAATCAGTGGCTTTTCCAGTGTTCTTTTGTCCAATTGAATTGAATATGATGACTCCTAACATCCATTTTCGGGAGGTGATGTGGATAAGACAAGGGTAAATTGTCACCTTTATTTTTCCAGCCTATGTTCCTTAGACAGGACATCAGATATTGTTCTGACATTTTATGATACCCTTCTTGCTATTGGTTGAGGTTTTTTTTTTGCTATTAGTTTGCCCTTTGTTATATTGTTTTATTATTTTGGTCTTCTTACTGTAAGAAGGGAATGTAAGGCTCTTAGAATCCCTTTGGACTGGAGGGCATATGAGCCCCAGTAAATATATATACCAGTGTTTCTCAGCCTTGGCAGCTTGAAGATGTGTGGACTTCAGCTCCCAGAATTCCCCAGCCAGCATGTTCTATACCTTTGGCCCATACCATACCAGGAAATCTGGCCTCAGTAAAGGGGGCACAATGGACTAGATGTGGGGGTTTGATGAGTTGCCATCTTGATGTGTACCCCAAATGCTTTTTTTTTTTTTTTTTGCAAAAGGGGAAGAGATTTGTGTTTTGATGCAAAACTGAGGAAACAGGCAAGGAAGGGCCTCCTTCCAAGAAGAATAAGCTCTGCTTGGCTGTTGATTCTCTACAAGCCCCATAGATGTGTAAGGAAGTAAATACATGTATTGCATTAGCATCTTGGTAATTATAAATAGTCAGAACAGCCCATTCCAGCCCTGCTTCATTTTCATGGTGAAATCAGGTCCCTTGGCTGTGAGGAAGTCTGGTCTTCTTGAAGTACCCATTGAAAGTACTGCCTCTTTTCCTGGGATTATGTTTTTTCTGAGACATGTCTATAGGCCCTTGAATATTAATGCGGTTATTCTATGCAAATGGATAACTACCGCTGAATTTAATACTAGATGCAACATTCAGCTCCTGAAAACTTTTGTCTTTTCAAATAGAACTTTCTGTGGTTCCTTGTGGCTGAAGGAAAAATAGGAGTGTATAGGCAACATCAATGAAACCAGAAATATGATTAAATAACACTTATAGTGAACAGGAATCTAGTTAATGTGTGTTAGGCAGCCTCTTCTCCCAGGAGGAGCAACATAAAATGATGCAAACACAAGGAAAGCATGCACATGTTCTTTATTTGCATAAATTAATCGCTCTTAGCTTTTCGTTTCCTTAAAGCAAAACATGAATTTGTTAGCACCTTTCTCATAGGGCCAAGAAGGGTTGCCATCTACAATAGCTCAGCGCTATTATTACAAAAGCCGAACTTCCCCATCCTCTCAAGTTTTGGAAAGCAGGAGGGAGCGCTCTTTGTGATTGATTGCTAGCAGTGATATCTATGTCATGTGTACTGTTTTAATCCAAACATTATATTGGGTGCGGAGGTGTGAGAGACTGGGAAGGAAACCAAGGAGGAGGGGGTGTAGTATATGCGAGAAGAGGCAACACAGTCCAGTTGTGAGACCTCTGGGAAGAAAGCACTTCCAGAAGACTCCGCTTTAATTAACTCACAGTAAGTTTGGCTGGGAATGTACTCTTACAGTTTTCAAGAGTAGTTATTCATCCCAGCCTAGCATCCAAGAGAACTTTCTGAAATCCATGTGGTTCCTGTTTCTTTGGTTTGCCAAATATGTGGGGCTTGACAGCATGCCATTCAGATTCCAACGTTTGGAATGGCATATAAGAGGAAGGAAGGAAAGATTGATTGGTCCCATTTGGCAATTTCTAACAATTTTCAAGAACTATGAATCCGCAAATATTTGCTGACCGCTCTCCAGAAGAACCTCTTCTCTCCTTCCTCTGCATTCAAGAGGCAGTAAAGGACTCAGATGTTTCTCTTTTCTACCAGCACAGAGCAATAATGTTGTTTTGGTAGTAACGGCAGTGGCTGTTCCTACTGCTGTACAGGTAGTCCTTGGCTAATGACCACTTGTTCAGCAACTGTTCGAAGTTACGAAGGCACTGAACGCGTGGTACATACGACTTGTCCTTGAAGCTCCAGCCATCTCAGCACCCCCACAGTCACATGATCACGATCTGGGTGCTTGGCAACTGGCTTGCACTTAGGACGGTTGCAGTCTCCCGCGGTCATGTGATCATCATTTGTGACCTTTCCTGCTGGCTTCCCACAAGCAAAGGCAATGGGGAAGCTGGCAGAGAAGGTTACAAGTTGCTCCTATAAGTTACTCCCACTCCTGCCACTTTTTCTCCCGAGGAACCCAGCTACGGAGAATGAGATCCCAGGAACAGCCTCTTGAACTGACATTTTCAGGAACAATATCTCAGGAACTGATGCAATTATGAATCTTTAGGTCTTATAAACATTGCAGTGAATTATAAGAATTCACTGCATCCAAATGATATCTGTATGACAATTCTTCAATAACTCAAATGTGAAATTGCCAGTGTGAACGTAATCCTTACTGCATTAAAATGTGAGTCCTCTTTAATAAACCTATTTAAGGCTTATTAAAGAGTTTTTAAGTGCTGAAGTTAAACAAAATTTAGAATATCAGCAAAGTCTAGATATCTCTAGTGAGTTGCTTTAGAAAAATACAGATGCACACGTGAACAGGATCTGAGCTATGACGAAGAGAAATTCCATGCCTAACCATGAAAGCTCTTTCCTAAATTACTGCATAACCTAATCAGTACAGTAATGCCTAAAAGCCAACTAGAGTGAAGGCTTAGAAGATTTAAAGCTGTAATAACAAAAAGCATTAATGGAGAGGTCAAAACCCAGAGCACCTATTTTAAAAAAAGTGCAGGTAGATGGAATGTAACTATGGAAAACAGATGAAAAGGAAGCGGTCTGGGAGTCCTGGGCAGAAAAGTGATATATGACTACTGCCAGAAACACGGACAACATGCAACTTAGTACCTACTCCAAGCAGAGGGTGCTACTGCATTGTGTTGCCTTTGTGCTCTCCAAACCCAGTTAGTTGGCCTTTGATGACCAAGAATGCTAGACAGGCCTTTGGTCAGCTTTAGTAGAATTGTTCTCATGTGCTTTAATCACAAAAGAAGTGTACAGTTCAAGCTATTGCATTTCTGCACACAAAATGTAGGAACATTTCTCTGTTCCAGTTGGTAGGATGATTTAAACAAACAGCCAAACTACTCCAGGATGGGAATATTCACCCCAAGGTAGTTTGGGTGTTTTCATGAGTTGCTCGCACAGTATCAGTCAAAAGCATTATGTTCTTTACTTACCTCTGATTCTTTGTAATAGCGCTCAGGAATTTCATCACAGGCGATATCAATGAAGCAGACTTCTCGGTCAAGATCTTTGGCTTCGTTATCAAATATCTGCAAGATGTAAAACAAACACATTTTAATGTTCTGGTAGACACATATTCTGAAGTTAAACTCTGTGAATGTTATGTACTGAATGTTATGAACTTGTTTCAAGAAACAAAAATACTGGTTCCAAAAGTAGCAGGATATGTTCTTGGCCGTGGCTCCTAATTACAGGTTGGCTGTGCACAAATTATGTAGTTTGCAGGCAATAACTTCAGTGCATGAACCCAAGTTTACTTCATGCCTCTGACAAGTTTTCCAAATCTTATTCTCATAAGTGACAGTATGAAAACATGATTTAAGAGGTAAGACTGAAAAACTCAGAGGATAAGCAGCCATTTTCTAGTCATCAGAATAAGCCTGCCTACTGTCATTCTCCATTGCTATGACCTTGATACATGCTTTTAAAATGTTTCCCCTATCCTTGCATTAATAAATACATGTTGCACAAGCCACAACTCTTTGACTAAAAAGAATTTCCCACTTGGATTTGATTTGGGGGAGCAGAGGCCACTGAAAATTTACAGAATTGGCTTTATTTATTGCTTATAAAGCTGCCCTCCTTTTTCCCAACCTCTGATATGTATCTCATTCCAACCCAAGGGGGAGGATCACAACCTAACCACGAGTCCTAATCAGCCAGTCACTCTAGGCTACTGGACCTGATATCAAGATACCCTAATTATCCATGGAGGGCAAGTTGAACATTCCTGACACTCAGAATTGCCTCTCTACCCCTTCTTCCTGGCCAAGTAAATGTCATACATAGGTCAGCGAAAGGCCTCTAAACACTTTTCTCAAGGGAAGCTTAGAAGCAGACGATGAACTCTGCTGTTCCGCAAAAGGCAAAACCAGGAATTACTGCCACTTGTTTACATGGGGCTGCCCTGGAAGTTGATTAGGAAGGTACAAATGGTGCAAAACGCAGCTGCCCACCTGCTGATTGGTGAGAGCAGATAAGCAGAATAACCCCAAAGATTGTGAGATTCTATTCTAGGTATTGGTTATTACCTATACAGATCTTTAAGGTTCAGGTCCTCATTACCTTCAGGACCATATTTTCCAGGTAGAATTTGTGTGTCAAATATGTGCTGCCTGAGATGGGATGCTGAGTGGGATTCCCTCCCCACTCCCCGATGAATACTAAGGGAGCAGGAGCCTGGAAAAAGGCCTTTTCAATCATAACCCCCTTGCTCTAGAATAACCTACCCCTGGTTAGAAGAGCTCCTTCCTTATTAACCTTCAAGAAGGCTGTTAAGACAGTTCTTCTATAAAACCTTTGGAATGGATTCTATCCGCTATTTTATGGTTTTATTGCACATTTTATGGCTTCTTCAGATGATAAAATCACCTAGAATTGTCAGCTGAGATGGCACACAAATAACTTTATAACTCAACTCAACTCAACTCAACTCAACTCAACTCAACTCCTCTCAGGAAACAAATGATTTCTTTTTCTTTTTTTCTGATGAAAAACTACCCCTTCCTTCTTCTGGTAAAAAAAAAAAGTTAAATCTATATTGGCTTTTCAATTTTCCCATTTGCAAACATGCAAAGCATTGTAATATATGCATTGGATAATATACAAATGACAAACCTCATCACCACTTTGTAAGGCACACTAGTGTGATAGCCTTTTCTTTGGGTTGTAGGGAGGAAGTAGCTTGCGTAAGGTCATCTGCTGAACATGAATGCCTGATGTGAGATTTGAGTTATGGATCTTCTGGCCAATAGCTTTATAGCAAAGAACTCTCCTATCCATAAGATACTATTTTCATCTTCCCAATCAATTTCAAGTGGATCCTAAATCTGATAGATTTCACTCCTCAGATGTCTGAACTTTTATTCGTGTATATTTTTCTCTTGCATACAGATGGAGGTTTAACCTCTTAGCTTGAAACACTCTGTGCTGTAACAACATTGCCTGGGCATTTTTACTTTGATTAGTTTATCTAATATTTTATTGTATTTTAAATTATTTTAGAGGGTACTTTTTGTTTTTATATCATGACATTTATTTAAGTAAATAAATAGCTATATCAAAGTAAGAAAAGGATCTATTTATATACTAAATCAATACAGATAATTTTCCTGTTGCTTCTAGCCAAATATTCTCTGAAATATTTAAGAGTCTGTAGAGGGGATAATTTAATTAATTATGCAGTTGAGCTGGGGATATTTAAAAGTTTTTAAAAAGAAAATTAAAGTTCATGGGGAAAAGCAGAAGGCTCTCAATCTGCTTCTCTGTGCTGGCAAAAAGCAGAAAGCAAATGGCAAGAACATTCTGTGTTCCTAACAAGGTCAGGATTGTAGAATGGACTCATAAATATTATGATATGAAAGAGAAATTAGAGAGGGTTGCTTTTTGGAAGTAATATAGCAATATGAAATGCCCATGACTAAACCAAATTAAGAATTTTCAAGAACCAAAAGTGAATTATAAATTATAACCTTTATAAAAATGACAGCATTTTTAAAATTATAGTATTTACAAAGCTGTTTGCCCAGTACCAGTGGGAATGAAATCCAACAGAGGCTCACGCTGGAAGAAAAGGAAGAAACCACTCTTGCACATTCTCTCTTCTCCATTCCCTCATGTTTTGCAACATTCCTCATCCTTTCCAGGACAGATTTTTAGGAAGCAGACGGGGACTGATGTAAATTCTGCTTATTCTTCAGCAGAAGTGGCCAAGGGTAGTCTGGATCCATTTTTTATTGCACATCAAGACAGAATGTGGACCAACAGTTATTGAACTGAACAGACAGAAATGTGTTAAGGACTACAGCCCAGTTTCTATTAATTCCAAATGAAATTTAGCTGTGATCCCTGAACTTTGCTGGCTGAGGGACTATAGGATTTGGCAAGAACTCTGTTATACTAGTGGAATATAAAACACAGTACTGCCATTGAAAATATATTAGCAGAATACTGGAAGGGCTGATTCTGTTATTTCAATTCAAGTAACACAGAGAAAATCTTCAGGTTACATTCTCTGTGTTCCTAAATCAATTCATTATTAGTAGGATCAACCTTTTACTACACATTAAAAATTACGTTAATGAGAGAAAAGCTTATCCAAGCTAGTGAAAATATTTTTAATCTTAAATGTTAATTCCCATCAACAGACTCCATGTGAAATGTAATGATCCAATCTGAGAGGGTTTTTGCCCCCAGATTAATAGATGATTTGCCTCAGTTTTCTAGAATGTACTTTTTAATATTTGCATATACTGCCAGCTGCTCCCCAAATACTGTATCAGCAAATGTTTGACCTGCTGCTCCTCCCAAAGGACAATAAATAGGCAGAGGATCAAAGCTTTGAAAGGCTATTCCTGTGGCTTAGAGAACTTTGTTCTCTTTTTCCATTATCTATAGTTTATCAAATTAGACATAATAAGATTAGAAATGTATAATATCTATTGCTGTGTTCTTACCATTTAGCCTGCATATGATTGCAGGGCCTGCTTGCTTTTGCACTGTGCTCACCTAGTTTTTACAGCTAATTGATCCATGCATAATAAGAGGGGTGGGCACAGCATTAGCTGGTTAGTAAGTGAACCTGACATTGATTAGGGCTGAGGCAAGTGACCGGTTCAAGGTGACTCAGCTGGCTTTGGGGCCCATGGGAGGGCTAGGATCCGGGTTCCCCCACTCCTACTCCAGCATCTTAACAACTACCCCACACTGCCTCTCTAGTATATACAACATTTACTAATTAAAGTTAAACTTAACAAAAGAAACATTATGAAAACATGTTTGATGAAATACATACATTGTTTCTGAACGACTGAAGACTTTTAAAAAGACCTTTGTTTAAGAGCATTTCCACACCACCAGTGCTCCTAATCACAAAGTAATTAGGAGACAACCTATCATCACCTTCCCTTCTGCCAACTTTGAAACACAAAGAATGAAGAAAACACCGTCAGTCATTGCTCAGACTCTTCCCTTGTAAATGATCAATAGAAGAGTTTTAAAAATAACAACTGAACGGTGTTCTGGCCTCTGAGCTCCCAACAGTCCTGCAATAATTATCTCCTCGTTGCTACTACTGTCCACATAAAAACAAAATGAAATTAATTGCTTCTCTCTCCACAGTTTTCAGTATGTACTATATGAGCTGTCTGCCAAAACCAAAAACGAAATGGAGGGGTTGCATAGTTTGGGCAATAAGGTCTCTTCTTATGCGTATTTGCCATCAGTCTAATGCTGGGATCCCCTGGGGTTGCACATGAGCCCCTACACTCCTTGCAGGCACTTCCCTTGGAACCTGTCAAACCTTCTGCTTGGCCTGATTCTAAAAAAACAAATTGGATTTTTTTACTTAAAAAGGCAGAGAAGCTGGCACGTCGCAAAGCAAAATGCCTTACAGCGGCAGCAGCTTCATTTTTAAGACAGCCTCTGAGCTCCATATGGGCCCTAGGCATTACGTAGTATAAAAATAGTCAAAGCCAACAGATGCAGGGGTCCCCAGGCTCCCCTTTAACTCTCATTCTCAACATATGTGATGGCAGGTTCTTCTAACCCAGACTCAGCAGTAAATTACAGACATCCTGGCTTAGCCCACCTCCTTGCTTAAATTCCTGGCCACGGCTTGGTTAGATGAGCATTTTCATTGCAGCCAAGAATGAACAGCCATATGCATCTGACTGGATATTGCTAGTTCCAACTCTCGGTTGCTTTTCTCTTTGCCCTCCCATATCCTTGATGGTTCAAAATCATGCCTTCTTCCTCCCAACCTTCTGAACTGAGGGATTCTTGGTGCAACGCTTGGTGGCTCTGAAGCTGAGTAGGGGTTGAATGTCTCCCAGTTCAGCCTGGGAACTGCTGATTCCTGTTTCACCTGCCTCAAACCTTATACCTACTTGTGCAGGACCCTAATGGGAGCTGCAGCAGAGGAGTAGTGCAGAAGGCATGAGTGGGGGAGAAGTAGCTAGCACCCCTGCTGTTATACCATCTCCTCCACTGCTGCTTGAATCAGCCATCATTTCAGTCAACAGCTGCACTG